TCACGTCATCCAGTTGTACCAGACCATCCAGTTGTCACCGGGACCGTCCCCAGACCATCCAGTTGTCCGGGAGCGTCCCGAGACCATCCAGTTGTCCCCGGTCGCCGAGCAGCCGGCGCGGATCGATGCACTCTGAGCAGAGGCCAATTTACCGAGATTACACAGAGCATACTGTTGGTCGCAGCAGTCCCATGCCAATCCTGAACTGGCAGAGCGACATGCCCGCTGCCCTGCAGTGGCACACAATGCTGACACACGCCGCGCCGACCAACTCGGATAAGGCACATTCCGAGCAGAGCGGGTCATCGGCCACGGTAAGGCACTGAATCCCTAAAAAGTCGGCCTCAAAGGCGTGCATAATGCGTAGTGCAGTGCAACGGTCGTTAGTCGCTACTCACTGACTGACGCTCTGATTCTGACGTTACAGCCCGGGGGTCGATTGGCAGGCATATCAAATGAATTTAGCATACCTATTTCTAGTTGGTGTGCATGGCTTATCTTCCCTCCCACCAATGGCCTCTGGCCGCGGCCGTACCGTACTCAGCGCGGGGTCACCCGCCCCCGGCCGGCTCATTTCTATTCTATCGGTCCGCCGGCGACCGGGCTCTCATATAGGGCCGCCGGCCGAGACAAATATCGGCCGCCGTTTCAATCGCGGCCGGCGATCGCCGCCGACCGGCTCCAATCAGCACCAACAGGCGGCGGCGGCGGCACTCCATCGGCCGGCGCGTCGGCGGCGATGAGCGACGGGCGTCGGACGCGGCCCCGGGGACGGCGCGCCGGGACAGGCGGCGTCACCGCGCCCTCACGCACCCGTCCGCCGGCCTCTCTCTCCTCCCGCCCGAGTCCCAGAGCAGGCCATATCTGGGCGGCGGCCGCCGGCCGGCCAGACCAGCCCGCTCCGCCGTCAATAATGAGCGCCAGCGTCGGCGCCGGCGCCGGCGGCGGTACATATTTGCGGCGCCGGCGGCGGCTGTGGTCAGCGCCACGGCCGACGAGTGGCGTCCGTCGCTGCCCGCGCCGTCCGAGTGGCCACCCGTCGCCCGCACGCGCCGCTCATGCATGCCAGAGTGGCGTCCGGGCCTCCGCGGCACAGTCCGGCTCTCTACGGCGCTCTCACTACCGGCGCCACAGCCCACCGCCTGACAAATAACGGCGACAGCAATAACGGACATACCGCGGCCGTGTTTCGCTCATAACCGCCCACGACGCTCCCGAAGCCGTTCGTGGGCCGTGATTTCCGCGGCGGCACATTTCCGCTGGCCGGTCTCCGGGGCCTGCTGGGCGGGGTCGCCCGAGTAATTGGGCCTGCAAGGTAAGATGTGCAGCTCTCAATGGATCCCGGCGGTCCCGTGCAGCGTGTCTGGGCGGAAATTCACAGCGCCGCGCGGACCTCCGCCGTCGTGCCGGCCGGCACGGCGGCAGACAGCACGGCGGCTCGGTCGGAGAGACATAGGTCCGGCGGCAGAGCCAGTGGTCCAGTCTGAGAAACTGAACGGGTCGGTACTGTGGAATCTATTGTAGAATATCCCACTTTACTATAGCAGCTGTCGGAATCAACAATGCAGGAGGGTTTCCGCTGCCCGATACCGGGGGCGACTACTTGCCTAGTTAGTGTCGACAACTCGACATACTCGCAGAGCTGCATTACGCTCCTGTTATCCTCCGAGGTAAGTTGATGCGGAGCACGCTTACATAAGCAAAAAGAGCAATGTAACAGAAGAGTGCTCGTTAATATCCCAAGTGGAATTAAACAGGGTTCTAATGGCATACAACCATTAAGAAATAACACAAAAACGCCCACTCTAAGTGAAGGATATCTCCCCAGCGGTTATACGAGCACCACCATCAGGTCCAACGCGAGTGCCGACCGTCCATCGTCCGAAACTGCTGCCGTGTTGTTAAGCACACGCGTTATAACGTCATATAGCGTGACCACCGGCTGCCAATGCTATGTTTGATGGGAGGGCGACCGTTCGGTGTCCGAGGGGAGACGGCCGGCGAGCACGACCATCGAGCACGGCCGGCGGGCACGGCCGGCGGGCCATCGGCGGTCCGTAAATCAGGGCCCGGGATGGGTCGACACGCGCGCCGCAGCTGCTCCGGCCGACCGAGTGGGCGGGGCGGCTCCCTCCCTTCCCTGACCGACCACACGGCCGCTGACGGGTGCTCCTCGAGAGATCTCCGCTGCACCCCACTCCCAGCCGAGTGAACCCAGACATCTCCATCGGTATTCCGCGCCACAACGGATCAAACCGGCCACCAAAGTGGGGCACACCAGACAGCATACACGCCAACACATGGCGAGTCTATGTGAATTTTTAATATGCTGACAAGTTTAACATTAAAAAGAAACACACACAAAATTAAAGATATCATAGACAAATGAATTTCATAAATTAGGATGTCCTGAAAACAACGAAAATGGTTAATTGCACCACACCCACCAAGTAGTCGCCTTCGGTGACCAAAAGTCCAACCCACACCGACCGATAACGACCAGCATCCACGGGCTGCGGCACAGCGCCGGCCCGGCCGGAACGACGGGCTGAACCGAGGACAGCTGTGACGGCCGCGGCAGCCCACTCCACTCGAGGGTCCTGTCCGACCGACCGACCAGTTCCGTCCGTCTCGGCGAGGAGCACCATTAAACGCAGCGCAGCTCTGCACCGCTCCTCCTGCTCTGCCCGCGGCACTGAGCGCGTCTCCCTCTCCCCTCCCGGCGGCACTCCACTCCACCGGACAGCGGGCAGTGGCCACCAAACCGGGCCCAGTCCGGCGATACCTCATCCATCTCACTCGGTCAGGCTCGATTCTTCTGCCGCCGCCGGTGTCGTCCGTTTATCTCCCGGAGTCTCCCAGCGACACCCCACACCGCGGCGCTGTGTCGCCAAGGAAAATTAATAGACACCGCACGTATTGTCATCCCACAAATTCCACAAAATAAAACACGTCCGGCTGGAAAATTAGTTTTGAAAGGCTCAAGCATCACACCAACACAATACCATGCTATATCGGACAAATAAACAAAATGCGATACGTAAGACACGTCGATAACAAAGGTAACAAAAAAGTGACACAAGAATCATGGGCTCAGCAAAAATCAGAAGACCGTACCAACATCTTCTGAGCTCTTGTCTTAGCCGATCGCTCCCACCTCCTTTATCGGCAATAGCAGGCAATAGTCCCTGACTTCTCTGTCGGCCATAGCCGCGCCTACGTCCTCTGTCCTTACCAATAGCGCTGTCCTTGTCCTCTTTTATCGAACATGAGGCGCTGACTCTTCTATCTCCCATTGCCGTACCCCACCCTCTCCTACCGTCCATAACCGTCCATTGCCGCGTCTGTGCCATCCTCACCGACCAAAGACGGCTCGTCTGGCCGTGTCCACCGACCGCAGACGGCTCGTTTAGCCTGTACGCCGACCGGCCGAAGACGGGGGCACGTCTGTGTCATCCCTACCGACCACAGACGGGCTCATTTGGCCGTGTCCGTCAGCCGACCGCAGACGGCTCGTCTGTGCCGTCCTCACCGGCCGCAGACGGGCTCGTCTGGCCGTGTCCACCCGCCGGCCGCCGACAGGCAGGCAGCAGACGTCCACTATTATCGCCGTCATTGCTGGCATGCCACCAATATCTCAGCAGCGGCCGGCGCGAGGGACAGACAGCAGAGACTGCCAACATCTGCAGCCTGCGCCAGCCGGCCGTCTACCAATCGACGGTGAAACATACCCACCCGGGCGCCTGATCAATCAACGGCACCCACCGGCCTTTTAAACTGATTAGATGCTGCACAGTGCGAGGGCGAAGGAACGGGAGAATAGGGCGGAGAGAGAGAGAGAGAGAGAGAGAGAGAGAGAGAGAGAGAGAGAGAGAGAGAGAGAGAGAGAGAGATAGATAGAGAGAGAGAGAGAGAGAGAGAGAGAGAGAGAGAGAGCGAGAGAGAGAGAGAGAGCGCGCGAGAGAGAGAGGGAGAGAGAGAGAGAGGGAGAGAGAGAGAGAGAGAGAGAGAGAGAGAGAGAGAGAGAGAGAGAGAGAGAGAGAGAGAGAGAGAGAGGGAGACGCCGTGGAGACCTGTGTCGGCGGTGGCGTGCCGGGCCGGTCGGGTCAGGGCGTCCGTCGCCGGCCGCCGGACGTCGAGCTGAGAGTTACTGCCGCAAACTCGGTCCGAGGCCGACACGACCCCGGGGACTCATCTGAGCCGACGGCAGCGGGCGGGGGCGGGGGCGGGGGGAGGGGTCGTGCCGCCTCCTCGGTCACCGGCGGCCGAGCAGAGGCAGGGACATCCTGCAGGCTGGGTTATCCTGTGGGAGCGTTACGGGAGGGCTGGGTCCTCTGTAGTGAGCGTTACGGGAGGATTGAGTCACCTGCAGTGAGCGTTACGGAAGGACTGGGTCCCCTGTAGAGACTGTCATCTGGGATGTAGACGAGTTATCCAGCATTGAGCGTTACGATAGACTAGGTGAAGTCAGTGCCAGGTCGAGGAGGGCTGGATCATTCTGCAGGGACATGTTAAAGAGGGTCTGACCATTGTGCAGTGAGCGCTACAGATCATGGGAGATCCTTAGGGGAGTGGCATGTCAGGGAAAGCCGGGTCATTCAGCAGGGAGCGGGCAGTTGGAAAGAGATACATAGTTGCTGTGTGAGAGGGTCGAGTTACCCTGCAATCCGAGTTTGGAAAAAGCTGGGCCATGACCTTGCAGTGAGCAGTAAGGGAGAGCCAGGTCACCTCGACACAGGCCAGCCCCACAGCCCACATGAGGGCCTGTCTTTGGGTCAGCGGCGATCCCCGTTCGGCCGGTCGGTCTGATCGGCTTATACCGCCCTCTGCAAGGCCTGTATGTAGAGGCTGTAGTGTCGCCGCCTGGAGCGCTGTCCTAGAAACTGGCCACCATATTCATCCAAACAGACATCGTAGAGAGCGTCCACCTAGATAAACGGGAGACAAAGAGAAGAACAAATACAGGGAGACAGAGAGAAAACCCGCCGTATGCCACTGACCTTGAGCTGGTTGCCGGGCGTCCGGAGCGCCTGGGCGTCCTGTCGTGCTCCCAGCCGGTCCACCTCGGCGTCAATGTACTCCAGCTGCGACTCCGTCTCCGACATCCAGGCAGAGAACCGCTCCAGCGCCTGGTCAAAGTTGGACAGCGACGACAGCGCAGAGTGCAGGCTCTTGCCGCGCGCCATGATGCTGTGGAAACAAAGAGAGAAGCGATGTCACGGTCACAAACGCAGTCCGTCAATATTGAAAGGAATGGAAAATTCCTGAAGCATCGCATATTTCAAAGCAAATAACTACCATCTTCTCGGCCACAGAGCTTTCGATTGCTGAAGGCTATCTCGAGTCAGAACACACAGAGCAGCCGCTGTTAGCCTGCTAATGGTTCGCCTGCCCTATAGTTTTTTTTTTCGGAAACTGACGGTACTGGTGCGAGATTCTGTTATCATGGACCGCGTAGGAGTCCACACTGACCGGAAAGGGACCTCGGGCTCGGGACAAGGACCAGGGTTGGCAAATTTATGCCAGCAGCCGGTTTAAACCGGTTTAATCCATGGATTAAACCGGCTGGCATAAACTAATTTAAGCCACCCCGGTTTAAACCAGTGTGCACCAACATAATAAAAGCCACTTACGTTAACTTGTTGTAACATCACTTGGGTTAAACTGCTTCTTCTCTTCACATTTTAAATACACACCTTTCAATTATACATGTTAACTTGTAATGTTTTTTTTTTCCCTGGGGGTTGACTTAATGTCATTCATTATTGATCTGTATCACCCTGTATCAAATGTTTATTTTGATTAGCAGTGTTTTACACAACTAGTTGTTCACATGGGTGGTTCATGGAATGCAAAGTCTTGGAGACAGCTTCAATAAAGAAACCAATTTCAATTTTATGAAAAGCTGTAGCAAACATGACCTTATGCCAAATGCATGGTGCAAGGATCAGTGAATGGTAAGGCCTAAGAACTATCATAAAGAACATTGCCTATTTACTAGGGAACTGTCTATTGCTTAAGCAGTCCACTAAACAAAGGAATTGACAGCACGGCCACCATTATAGGCTCCAAAGTTCATGTAAAAAAAACAATAATAAGTGTGATTAGTTAGGGACACTGTTATACCAAGAAAAAAAAACATGCACTACCTGAAAAAAACACAAACCATAGGAACATTCCAGAAGATTTATAAATGATGAGTTGTTACAATTATTTCCTATGCAATTAAAAAAAAATCACTTAATGGGTGATACCTACCATGATAAATAATTTTTTTCTAGTGTTACTGGCCCAGTCCCCAGACGATTGGTCAGAATACATTTTACATGTAAAATAAAGTGAGACTTTCAACTAGTAAACCGAATGTTAAGATTAGAATGTGCTTATGCCTTATACCTACTTTGTTTCTTAACTTAGTTACCTACTGACCAGATTGTCAACATAATCACATGCCAAAATGTTGACATAATACCAAATGACACGGTATTGAGTATTGACTTCCTGCACTCTGCACAGTCACCAACGAGTACACTGACCCACAAGATAAGTTATAGTAGATGTTTTGACTGAAGGTGGTTTTTATTAATTTAAGCCGGTTTAAACCGATTTAAACCGGTTTAAACCACTGGCTGGCATAAATTCAATTTAAGCCGGCTTTTATCCAACCCTGACAAGGACAGTCCGTGCCAGACCCTGCGGCCTGCCGCAGAATCACCGGCTGGTGGCGCTGACGACGGTCACGCCACCCTAGGGACGGCGTCTACCCAGGGAGGTAAAGCTGCTCTGCCCGACCGACAGATGGCTCTCAGCCCCCGCACGGCGAGGCCAGCCCCCATTGAGAGGCCAATCACGATGACTGCCGAGCGCCACAAAGCCGACCGCCGCACCGGCATTAAGTGGCAGCAAGTGGTGGTTTGTTACCAGCTACCGCACGGCCCCCGCTCTCCAGGCTCCAGTATGATCAAACCACCGACCGTGGGGACAAAAAAAAAACGTCATTCCCGCGGTGAGGGCCCGACAATGCCCCTGTCGACCCTGGGATCGCTACTCCTGTCCGTCCCGAGATTGAATAGAGCCCCCTTCCTTTTGATTGTGGCTCTGTAGGAAAACCGGGTCCCTGGAAGCAGAGGGTATCCCCGCCTGCCGTAGGACCAATGCTCACTGTCCGTGTCCACAGTCCACACTCTCCTGCGGCCCACCTTCTAACCGCAAGATAGGTACAGGTCTCGCGGGTTTTAGCGGTAGGTCGCTCGGCGAGCGGGAGGGCAACCAGTTCCGCCTCTGTATCGGTGGCCATTTGCTCCGCCCAGTTACTCGCGAGCGCGTACTACGGCACATAGTAAAGTGGGGAGGGGAGGGTTAGAGTGACAGCCTGCGTAGAGGCTAGAACCGGTTCCTACCGTTTGGGTCGGCGAGACGGCACGCGGTCAGGGGACGGGGAAAGGTCAGAGGTCACTCACAATGTGCAGTACCGCGTCCCGTCCTCTCTGCGTGCTGATCAGCGCACGACCTCGGCCGTTGGCCAATCGGCATTGAACGGTCAAGGCCATCCGTAGCCAGCGGGCGGGGTGAGTCGGCAGCGTGCCGATCCAAAGTCGTCGAAAGACTTAGCCGCTTACCATTGAGGCCGGGAGACGACTGTAGTTATTTCTTGGGAACAGTTCTGTCATTTAATCGTGACCTGCTGAGGCTGGAGGTCGTTTTACATCAAAGTTTTGTTTTCTGTCGCACTCTTTTTCCAAAACTACCTGTCACGGAACGTCAGAACTAATCAAAGAATTACTGTATGAATGAAATTACATCATTAACCCTCGCCCCGTTGGGGGGGGGGGCCATTTAGGCCCCCCCTGTGGTTTTTCCTGAATAGCAAGAAAACGGCGGCGCGCAGCGCCGCCAAATTTTCAGTACCTTTCCGGGCATCAATTTGACACCTTCACACCAAATTTCAAGTCTTAGGTCACCTTAGGTCAGGAGTTATTGAGGTCAAACTGAGGTCATGTTCGAGCAAAAATGAGCAAAAAACATGCAATCTTGAAACGCTCACCAAATCTACAGTTATCAAGCAATTTCAAAATTCTTTATATGATCTAATAGACAAAAAGCGGCGCTACAAAACTGCTATCTCGGATTTTCAAAATTTTGGGTTTTTGACCCAAAAAATTTCAAAAAATTGATTTTTTTAGAAAAACTAAAAAAAAATCCAAAATTTTCCGAATTTCGAAAAAAACCGGAATATATGTGATAGTCCCTGCGCTCTTCTATATACATACCAAATTTCAGATCGATATCTCGTTTTTTGGCCAAGTTATAGCGAAAAAACTGTTCAAAAATGATGACGTCAAATTTTTGAACTCAATTTTTAGCGATTCTAGACCTCGTACGGCAAAACAAAGACCACCATTGAACTCCCCGTGACGAGCTGCATCGATTCGATACCCATTTTATGCAAAAATATCAACTTTGAAATTTGACCTTATTTGACCTGACCTTGATCTGACCTTGACCTGACCTTGACCAAAACGTGACCTAAGCTGGCCCCAAAGGCTGCCTGACCCACATAATCGCATTTGTCATGTAAAATGGACCATAAAACATGTATCACACGACACTTTCATATTGTGACCCCCCAGTGACCTGACCTCAGTGACCTGACCTGGTATCAGTGACCTCAACTAGCAAAATATGTGTTTGAAGAACATTTCCCCGTCGATAATTTTCAATGAAATGCATTTTACTCGATTTTACAACGCATTTCTTGAAATGCCTGTAAACGGTGAAAATTGGACCTTTGACCTGACCTGTGACGTCATCGGTTTGACCTAGGTCAATAAAATTGGGTCACAAGGTAGTTCCCTGATAGGGCTATCCAACACCGTTTGCCGCTTGTCGCTACGTTGCGTGGTTCTCGAGATCTTAGGGGGGGCCAAAATGCCCCCCCCCCCCCCCCAACGGGGCGCGTTGCTCGGCAGAGCCCAACGGGGCGCGGGTTAAAAAAGAAAACCAGGTAATAGGCATTAAAGTTTAAGTTACATCACTGTAAACTTGTTTCGTGTTATTTTTAGAACAAAATGTATATGAGCCGCTAAAAAACATGATAAAGATAGAAATATGCCATAACTCGCACCTTATCGGCGTTTTCGCAGGCGCTTACGTTTGGGCGAGGGTGGATCAGACCCCACAGCTGATCGGCTTTTAATCAAACTACTAGACCTTGAAAAAGAACGAGCATGTGGCCCGTGACGAGAGGAAGCCGATGATACCCAATTGTTAGATCATAGGTCATTTGCTGACCATAGGCTATTCGTTGACTTTCCAAATCAGGTTAATGATCCAAAAGTCGGAAGAATCGACACCTGCCTAGAACTTTTGTCGTTAGTTTTTATTGTGCTTTCGGTATAAGAGAAAGTGGGATAAATTAGCGTTTTGGAAAACGGTCGTTATAGGTATTTATGCGACCATACACGAAATAAAAATAAACCCTAATTCTTCTCACGCTCAATGTGTTTCCACTTCCATCGCTAGTGACCTTGCATTTAGGTCACATGACCAGAAACCAGCAGCTAAACTACGGAGATTCTAGGGGCGGCGGAAACCTTGAAGATTGGCCCTGCCGCATTGTCACTCCTAGTCGCTATGAACCTGGCTGGATCGGCTCCATGCGCTTAGCAGATCGGCAAATTTGTAGTTAAGCAGCCCTGAAGGCACCGGCCAAGTTTCTCCGCTGGTCCCGGCCAAATAAAACACAAGGGACCAAACATCATTTCACATGTTGGGATGTTTCTAATCACAAGTCTAGAAATGAACGGTTAATGAGACCTGAGACACCGAATGGCCATTCTGTCCTATAATGGTCTCTAAAAACTGGTCACAGGTCAAAGGTCATTTTGGTCATGGTCATGAAATTCTCAGGTTAGGTGTAAATGTTCAAGTTGCAGATGACCTGAGCTTATTCTGACTTCTGACCGCATTAACAGTCACGCACGGGTGGGCCTCTCATCCAACTTCGCCATGGTGGGGGGACTTTTTTTGCCCACACCAGGTTATCTCGGAATGGAAGCAACTAGCAAGCTAGAAAGACGCGGTAAGAAGCAATAGATAGTTCGCAATAAGATATTTCAGAATTGTTCAGGTATTTTTATCAGGTAATTGCTAAGGTCACTGGAGCTCACCAAAGGTAAACTTTTCACGAA